AACTTGAAGTATAAAACAACCACAAGTAGTTTAATAGTTTATAAGCATGTTTTATTAACAAAATAAGTTTTTTTCATAATAAATTATCAATATATGTATTTATTCCTTCCGCAGTTATTTATTCTAAGATATTAGCCCCTAGTGGTCACTAATGACAGAATGTTAAGACTAATGTCACTAATGAATTTTTAAGAAATGACAATTTTATGTTCTTTATAGTTGCAAATGAAGACCGGATGATGTTGAAGATATCTACATATGAAAGTTAATTTACTGTATATTAGACTACATGTTATAAATTTCCACAGATAGAAATTTGGCACACCAATTTTATCATTAAATTTCACTAATACTTCAAAATTGAATTGAATTCCATAGTATTTATCGTTGTTAATGGCATTTTTAACTGATTAAATAAAAAAAATAAAATTCTAAATTTCTTTTCCTTTTTATTACCATGATTCGTGAAGAAAAGTGCTTTGATAACTGCATATGAAGAAGGAAATTGTGGTGAAATTACCGTTCTGTATGGTAATGACATTTCTGGTAAAAATAATAATATTGGTTAATAAAGCTAAAATATACGGTGCTTAAACCATTTATTTGATAATTTTTTACTTTATATGGTAACGCATGGCTAGCGCTAAGCATTTGCCATCTCGTCAGTGCCATCAAATCTTAAATTTGGCGAAAAAAATTATTTTTTGGAGAAAGTATTGGCGAAGGATTTTTTTCCACTGGAAAGAAAAAATATATTTAATTTGATCCTCATAATTACATCAAAATGATTTTTTCTAAGCAAATCAGTATTTTTTATTCGAATACAGTAATTTTTGGTAGATGCGCAGCATAACCAATTAGAATTGGATCCAATTAATATAAGCCTGGAACAAACTGCCTCAATATACAGATTAAACTCCGTTAAATAGTTCTATGGGAAATATTTATCATAAAAAAAATTTTAACATTTGCATTTGAGGACTTTCAACAATTGGTGAATACTTTTGATATTTGGATAATTTACTGTCCAGTAATTTGAAATTCTTAGCACGGGCTCTGGTAACGGTTTAACAGAAATTCTGGTTTTCAAAATTACAGTTCTTACAATCACCAAACTCTAAAAACTTAACTCAATGGCGTGATAGTCATAGAGGGCCAAAGCCTAATGTACCAGTCTCAGTTTTCTTGACCTTGGTCTCTGATGTTCCGGTTAGGTGGCCAGTCGAACGTGGAGAACACAGTGTTCAGTTCCCAAGCATGCTTAGTACTCATTTATTTACCTACTGAAGGGATGAAAGGCTGAGTCACCTTTGCCCAGCCCGAGGATCGAACACAGGACATGCGGCACGGGAGCGCGAAGCGATACCACTCAGCAACCGGGTGTCTCTTACTATCACACATGTAATAAAAAATACGAAACTGAAAAGTAAATTTAACCGAGTAAATTATTTTATACTATGCTCCATCATGACAAAATTACAAAATTTTATCACATATTATAAAACTACTTTTTATAATTAATTTTAGAAAATCATTAACCAAGTTCTTCGGTTAAAACTACTGATCTTTTTAGTGTTCCCATAGATCCAGAAATATGGTGAATTTTACCATGTCCTGGAAGTTTTGACCATTACTTTTTCTTAGTGTGCAAACGCACTATCTCATAGCTCATTTTAAAAACGTTGCGAGTAGCGTCTTGTAAGTCGATTCAAGAACAGAACGCCATCTATGGGCAAGTCCGATATCGCTTCTAAAAATTTCTTAATTTTATACATTCTTTGCTTGTTTACCCTCTTAATAAAGTAATATTACTTTTCAAAGTGAAAAATAATTTAAGAACGCATGTTTTATAATTAATGAGACAAAATTATAAAAATTAATAAACTGATTTAAGTATAAGAAAAAATCCTTCAAATATGCAGATACTTCTCACGAAATAAGGAATGGATTTATTCTTTCCTAAAAGGGTGCATGTTTTTTTTCAAGCTACGTATATCAAATCAATCTTGTCAGCATAAGAGCCGAAAATTTGAGTTGCCAGTTTTTATGCCAATTGCTGTTTAATTACAAGAGCATAGTAATAACATTAAGGATTACATTATCATTATAAATAACCTAATTTAAATGAAATTTTATCGTAATAAATAAAATATTAAAAAATGCATAAACCAAATTAAACATTTTTGAATTATGTTGCTTTGATTATTAGTTAATTTATCACACTAATACTAAACAAAATTTTTTTCACTGTCGTTTTTAACTTACTTCAAACTACTATTTTAGCTATTTTAATTTGAAAAGATTTAACTTCATAGTGATATACATGCTTTAAACAAGCAATTCCTATTATTTTATTTCACCTTTATAGTTTATAAACTGTTAGTAAGGGCTAATAAGAATTTTGAGAGCGAATTTCACAAAAAATATCCTAAAATTACGCCTAACTCTCCAAGCTGGAAAACAGCGTGACGCTTAGATTCAAAGGCATTTCTATTAGATATAGAAAAAAACCGCGTGAAAACTATTAGTGGTGACGTGGACAAACTCTAAGTGAGGATGTAGTAGATACTAATTTATGTACTCCTTGAATTTTGTCTTCCATCTGAAGGTTACAAACCTAAACCTTGGTCCCCGTACATTATACACACGCGATATTTTGCATTTTGCACTTACTGAATTTAAACCAAAACCTATTTTGGTAAATGTTTATTATTTTGGGGGGAACTGGGTACACAGAATATTTTTAGAATACTAAAGTCAAAGAAATATTATACATATTTATAATTACACTTTTGAGCTAAATTTAATGAATTGAATAGGCTTGAATAGAAATCAATTTTTGTCGATGCGGAAACTGTGTACACGGAATATTTTTAGAATACTAAAATCAAAACAAAAAATATACAGATTTATAATTGTACGTTTGAGCTAAATTTAATTAATTGAATAGGATTGAATCGGAAACAAATTTTATAGATATGGGAACTGGGTACACAGAATATTTTTAAGTATACCAAAATCAAAAATTATTGTACAGATGTATTATTATGAGTTTAAGCTGAATATGATCAATTAAATAGGATACGGGATACGGGAAATTCACACACAGAATATTTCAGTACTAAACTAACATCTAAGAAAATAGAGTACTAGAATCACTAAGTACTAAAATCAAAAAAAAAAATATTATACAGATTCATAATTATACTTTTGATCTGGATTCAATGAATTGAATAGGATTTAGCTTATGTCATACAAAAAGTTCTTGTGTTGTTACCCATACGGAAAAAAGTGTGGTCAAAACTACGAGATTATGGCAAAATGCACTATGTTTCTGGCTCTATGGGAGCACTAAAAAAGCTCGATAATTTTTACCGAAGTGCTTTGGTAATGATTTTGGTAAAATGAACAAGAAAGTATGGTTTTATAGCATGAAATAAAATTTCGTAATTTCATTATGCTAAATTAATTCGGCTAAATTTATTTTTTACTTTAGTACTTAATATGCGGTAATAAGAACTATAATTTTTAATGCCAAACTTTCTGGTAAATTGTTAACGCATGAACGGAAAAATTATCGAATGAATTTTTTTAAGTTAATAATTGACGTAATTTTGGGTTTATTAACCAGAATTATGATGCTGTTTTTTATCATAAATGTCATTTCCATACAGTACGGTAATTTTAGCTTTTTTTTTCTCTGTGCACTTACTTTGTTTTTCATAGAAAGCAATACACTGACTTCTCATGAACTTCTCAAACGCATTCTTGCTTTAAAATAAATTTTATAAAAGCAACCAATATCCCTAAAAAAAACTTTTCTATGATGTTTTAAGATTTTCTATCCCCTTGCCTAAGAATTATAAATGAAATAAAGAGCACAAAGCAATTTTAGCGATTAAATTCTAGTTCTGGGTCAGAGTTCATAAAACCCTGTACTATAGTACTATAGAGTTACCTATTGTCGAAAATTAATTACGCTGTAAAAGGTATGAAAAGAATATTGCTTACTTCGATCTTAATTCCAAAATTGCTACATAGTTTATACAACAAATATTGTCATTATATAAGTTATTTGTGACAATGAATCTTTATAATTATTTTGCAAAATATTAATGAGCAAAAGCATTTTTTGCAAAAATATCTTATTGATAATAATTTTCTTTGTTATTGATGTTCTTAGATGTATTTTTTTCCAAATGGAAGTTGGTGAAAGTATAATATACTGTTCAATGTGGTAGAAATGTGTTCGTATTTGAGAACAATTTGCATGTAAGAAATTTAATTTAATTACGATATTTAATTCTATACATAAACTTTATAACAAAAAATTTTCTTTTATCGCAATTAAATTTAAATTTAAATTTTATCGCAAGTAACTTTTTATTATATTTTTAATAATGCCAAATAATTACAATTTTAATAGCTTTACATACATCGACTATTTATAATTACGCATAAATATTATTGAGTTGGATTTTAGTCGAATTTTAGTTTTGCTTATCCGGACCAGAAGTTACACATAAGTTCAAAAAAACAATTAGTTTTAAAGTATAAGTATAAGCTATCAGAATAGTTACTTCATAATTTTGTTAATCATTCCGTCACATCTATTTAATTATACTGTACACACCTATTATTGCCAGTGTATGCATATCTTGCTTTATATTTAGTGTTATGCAATAAATCCTTGTAGGTATTTTGCTTTATGTTTAATACATTATATCGTGATTGCTGAAAGTTTTTAAAACTAAAATCATTTTTAATTATTATTATTAAAAAATATATAGCATGATTTATTAGGAAAACACACATGCCTACAAAAACTTTAATGAATGGTGACTTTAAAGAAGTTCTTTAATAAAAATATTTAACTTTAAACTACGTTTCTTCATTTTATTTAACATTATTTATTTTATATATTTCTTTTTTTATATTTTAGAAAATAAATAAATAAATATCCACTGTTTATAAATATAGTACGTTTTAATTTTCTCTACTCTAATTATTTCCTATATGTTTCCTAATTTTTATGTTGACGGTAAAAGTGTATGTAATGATTAAATGCTTTATTTCCCTAAATTTATGACGAATAAATTAATAAAATCTATAAAGAATAACTTACCAGTTGCTGGAGCATAGATATTTAGGTATAAACAGTCTTCACTCTGATTTTTTAATAGAGGAAGTAAACGTTTGAGGTATTCTATTCTCCCAACTGGCATTCTCTTTAAAGCTTCAGTTTCATTTTTGATGTCCGGTAGTTTTTGGATACAGACAGCCTTGAATTCGTCTGCTTGTTGCACTCCACGCCACTGAGCAGGTGTTACGGGATGCATGAACCTTAAAGTATTTATAGGAGGTCTAGCATAAGGCACACCCAGGAATATCTCTACTGGACGCCACTGGCGATTTGGAAATGTCTTTACAAAACCTCGTAGAGATCCATACTTTGTTGTAACGACGCGAGAAGATATCTTTTTGGTATCTCCAGTGGTGGCAAAAGTCACACTGATTAAAAGTGTAAATCTAAGAATAACACGAAGACGTATTCTCTTGCAAGAACTCTTCCTTTGTCGGCACATATTTTCTTCAAAATTTTACTTTCTCTACCACAAATGCAAATTCAAACGATTTTGTTTTAAAAAAAATCTAAGAAAAAAAGTTTATTCTATAGTCACAAGCGGGATTCAATTTTTTATATAAACACACAGCTTAATCATCTTGAATTTAAAATCTCAATTTTATAACACTGTATCCTTTTATAAAATATATTAAATTAAAATCGTTGAACTTGCTAAGCATCTTTTTCTTTAAATCACTACAAAACTTAAAAATAATAAAAAATCCGATTCTTGAATTAAACCATGAATAAATATTTCAAATGTTCCAAAAGTATATTTCCCACTTTTTCCATAAATAAAAAACATAATAAATCATTCATATTTCATAAATAAATAGTTCTGAAAGTTTGAATTCGTATGAATTTTATCAATCACATCTTCCAACCATTAGGGAAGCGAGCATTCAAAATCCGGGAATTCCTCTTTACCGGAAGAGCGACCGATCTGAATCTTCTCTTCTCAAACCCCAATCCCATTCATAGGTCCAACGTAAAGCACAAGTTTTCAGCGGACAGCACAGAGTTGGAGAAAACGCGAAGAGTAAACTTTTAAACAGCTGCAGTTGAGAGAGCTTTGGGTCTATCTGGATTGCCAGCGGGAGCGCGACTTTATCCCGCGCCCTGGTGGCGCAAGCGTGGCCTCTGGAAAGGGGGGCCAAGATAGTGGGGCGCATAGTGGGGCGCATGTGCAACGGTAACATCTAGAGTGGGCCAGTGGTAAGAGGGAGAGAGAATAAGTTGCTTATAGGTACATTGAGGATATTGACTCTTAATTTCGGCTTTAAATGACAGTAGGTGAATTTAAGAAGAATTAATTACTTTCAGTTCCTATTCTCCGGCAATCAGGATATTTCAAACCGGGAAATTATACTATAGCTAAATCTAAATTGGAAGATATAATAATTAGGAGTTAAAGAGAATTTTTTTTCTTTGGAAATTATTAACTTTTAATTTTTGTTCAGAAAAGACTCTGTCTCGAAAAAGTTTGAGTGAAATGCCATTTTATGTCAAGTCAGCGGGATTGTTAAATGTTTTTTTTCTACTTTTATGTAATTTTTAATTATTATAATTAAATTATAATTTTAATTAAATTATGCAATTACATTATAATTTAATATAATTTCTACATAGGAAAATGAAAAAAAAAATACTTTTAATAAAAAATATAATGTATATCTATGCATATATATATATATATATATATATACAATATTAAATAATTTATGTTGTTTTAACATTTGGAACCTACAAAATATGTTCAAGAGTCTTTTTGTAGGAATTTAATTTTTTTTGACGACCTATGAAAATTTTAAAGTAAAGCAAACTTTTTCATATTTTTTCTTATTTTTAGTATTTTCTGTTATTATTTATATTTAAAGAAAATGATATCCTCAATATACAGATTAAAC